AAACTATAACAAAAATTACGTATATAATATCAAAAAATGCATAACTTCTGTTTAAATTAGCGATTAAGAAAAACGTATAAAAGATTGTTTTTTTCCCCTCTTAAGAGAGTTAAAAATTTGTTTAAAACATTAAAATTAAATTTTCATAATGTTAAATTATATAATTTTTAAGTATGTACACTTTAAAAGCGGGCTTATGATAAATAAATCATAAAAATATCATGGTTTTGACTCTTGGTATTGCCGGATACACAGTATACAGTATGATTATATGTAGCTATTATTAGACTATGATTTAATTTAATTATTTTCCGTAAATATAATAATTCTGATAGATAAAATAAACGCTTCTAATTAAAAACGATTGGACCTTGATTTAGTGTGAATATTTCTCCATGGGATAAAAATAGTTTTACAATTTCTCATAGAAGTTAATTGATATTATAACCGCACTTTGCTGTAACATATATTTGTATGTAACAAAAGAGATAAATTGTTAAAATGTAAAATTAAAAAAATATACAGTATATATTTATCTAATTAATAATTTAAATGTTTACTTTGAAGATACTTAGGATGATCGAATACCGCATTTAAAAATAATAATGTAAGTTGGACTACAGTAAAGATTTGTTTAGTTTATCGTTAGTATTTTGTATTTTACTAAGTTTAAAATATTAACACAATCAAAATAATCTTAGTCCAATAATAACTGGTTCTTTTATCAACATAACAAAACTCTTAAGGGAGATAAACGTCTGCCAATAAAAGTATATTTACAACAGTTTTTTTTTTATATTGCCTTTACTGTAGGAGGGTTAGTTTACACCAATCTGTCCAGTTAAACAGGAGATACGTTATGTTTAGGCAGGGGAGATGAGTCAGATCTATGTATCATCGTTGGTGTTCTTACACGCATGCATTTGTCGTCTTTCCAGATGGTTAGCAGTGAACTATGTACCCCTGGCTAATTTATTAAAAAAGATACGTGCTTTATTTCACGTTGATGGCTCATCATTTCAACTAGAGTTCTTAAGTATGACCGGCTTGAATATGTTTATTTTTCTAGCAATCAAGTGAGGCAGATCTACAATGGTAGCTAACTTTTAATGTATCACATGTTGGGCGAAACTTTGAAAGGTATGAGACCTGCAGGTGATGGAATTTTACAGCAAATTGTACCAGATGGAAAAATGACTTACTTTGCCATATTTGTTAAATTTATGAAGTTGCCCTCGTGTCATAAAGCAGCAGAAAAAAATAGGAAAAGTTTCGCCTTTCCCGGAATTAAATTTCATTTTTAGCGGAAAAGAGGAGAACTTTAACCATATATTATGAAGATAGTAATTAAAGTGGAAATTTTATTTCTCTTACAAACTTAAAATCGGACCAATGAGTTTATAATTTACAAAGTTAAATTTTAGAGGGCACTTCGCTCGTCAATTTTTAAAAATAAGTTGCTCTGTTCGGTTCGGTTCACCTTATTGAACGTGTCTGTAATTACAGTAATGAAACTGTGAATGTGTTTGGACTAAGTAAATAAATTCCTTATGTCGATAACGAGTGAAGTTGGAATACCAGCACGACTGACACTGTCAATTAACCATTGTACTACAAATATTTAGATGTGGAGTACGGCTGGCAAATGTTAAGGCAATAAACAGGTGCCTGGATGGGATGAGCGCTAAACGATACATCCCAGCTTGAAATTCTCTCAACGACAATTCCAAGTGGTGCCATGTTTGAATTTTACATTGGTTCATTGATTGCTTAAGACGTTATAAATATTAAGGCACGAGTTAGGATATTTTTATATCGTTTACTTATAACTTGTTTTAAGTTTAAAAGTCACAAACTGTTTATTTTTTATCGTTTATATTTTTAATACTCGAAACATTCAATTTGTCATCGACCGACCGACGATGACTTTTTATCGAGTGGAGATATGAATGGCGCGTGCCAACTATTGATAATATACGCTGAGTTTGTTCCAAGGGGCCGAATTGTCTCTGCCATTACTTGATGACATATAAATGCCACATTACTCGTTACGAGCAGGATAAAAACTCTTAAATACTGACCTATTGCCATTTATCATTCGTTACCAACAGATTTTAGGTCAAAAACCTCAGATTTGTTTATCGGTCGTTAATGAAAGAAAACGAAACTTATCTGGAAAAAGAGGGAAAAAAACCAAACTGATAAGAACTGGGGTACCTGTTATATAATCAAGCTAAGCAATTAGTTTAATGTTATTTTTCCCTATAACGATTAGATTAATTGCCAAAGAAATGTTTAAAATTTCGTTATCTCTTGTAAATAACCTTAAATATTAATATTAAATAGTTCATTATAAGAATATCATTCGTCAGATAAGATTTTTTTTTAAATGTTCGCTGTAATTAAAACATCATTTGATCCCGATGGATCTAGATCACTTTTAAAATAATTTCTTTTTTAAAATTCGTCTCACTTAGTGCCGTGAATAATGTATTGGTCTTACTTACGAAATCAGTGACATTGATCTCTGTACAGAATCAATCAATTGTAAAACTATTTACAATATCTTTTACATTCTTCAAAAGTACAAATGTTACGTTTAAGAATTTACATTAACTTAACTTCGTTTATTATTTAAATTATTACCAAGCTGTAGAGGAGGGGTCCCGGAGGTAGAGCGGCTCCCCCTTTGGCCTTTTTTATTATTTGAACAAATGAAATACGTAGAGAATGTTTCTTTATTATTGATAACAAAAATTAGTCTTAAAGATTTTATTTAGTCTTTTAAAGTAAAAGCAACACTCATTTATACGGAGGAACCACTACGAGTCTCTAAGTTTTCTCCGGCCGTAGAGAAAAATTCCCAGCTTCTCCCTATCGACGGCCCTATCAGACCCGCGTGTGGGAATTTTAAAAGGGCGATGTTTAAAAACATATTATTTCTTATAAAGTAGTTTAATTTAATTTTTATAATAAAGATAATATATAGAGTAACATAATGTAGTAGACCAATGGTGCCTATACTACGATCCCCGGGCAAATGGTCCAGCAAACATATTTGATACATCACTTATAAATGATACTATATATGGACTGTATAAAATGCCCTTCCACCTACGATTTACGGGCAATTTGGCTCACCAATCAAATAGTTTGGGAACCATCGTAGTAGACTAAGGAAGAACTGAACGGGTACAAAATAAATATCCTACATATAGCCTAATAGGCGTATACTGTTTAATTAACGCAGTCCAATTCTTCCAAAATGGGGGCCAAACCCCCAATGGGCACAGCCTTGATTACTATTACTATCGTTTATATTATATAGAGACTAATTTGTTTTATTACATTAAACGAAGATGAGTAAATTTAGAATGGTTTTTAAAGAGATTTATTTACAATTTATTTCAAATGGTTATAATTATCACAATTAAAAAAATTCTGATATATATTATCGAATAAAATTTTGGAATATTTTATATAAAATATTTATTTATCTTTTAGTTAGTTTTATTAATACATTTTTTAAAAAATAAATAAACGATCCAAATAAACAATAATTATTTTTTAACTTCAAAAATATATAGTTAAAGGTTTTTTATAAGGTAATAAACTATAATATTTTTTTTTTATTAATAAAAGTATAAGTTTACTAATATTTGTTTGTAAGCTACATAGAGATTTAAAAATAATAGTTATAAAAAATGATTTATATCAATGTATAATTAAGAGAAAAATCCATTAGAAATTATGCCAAAAGAGATTAATAAATGTATTATTTACTAAATAGAAAATCTTGTTTTTTAAATCGGGATTGAAAACGTACAAAAAAAAATTGTTTGGATTTATCTAAGGAGAAGAGATAAATTTGGCAAGTCAATATCTTTTCGATTTGTGGCGTTGACTTATCATGTTTGCAAGAAATACACAACATCAATGTTAGAAAATTTTAGATTTTTCTAAATTTATTTCTATAAATTTTTCTACTCAGTGATAAAAGAAAAAAAAAAGACCTTTAATCTTGTCAAATCTGCAATATATCGTTCAAGAATTTCTAAATATAGTTATATAAAAAGATCACGATTATCTAAAGTCTAAACTTAGCTAAACAAACTCGTCGGGGATCGTAGTAATTAATTTTATAGATTAAACAAAAAATAAGTGTTATATAATAATTTCTGATAATAATCTACACTTTAGATATTTTTCGAAATTTTAGTAAATATAAAAGTTTAAAGTTTGGTGATACGGAAAGTCACATAGAAATAAGTTTCTAAACAAGTCAAAATTGTGTTTAATTGTAAGTTAAATATTTAGCAATAGATGATTGAACATTGGAAAAATTTAGTGGTTAGCTAAAATATAAGCCCTATTTTAATCGCGTAAAAATGTGAATAAATTTTTCTCTTCTTTTTGAATTAATATTCGGATAAAAAGCAATTTTATAACTTAAATTAAAATATAATATAGGCCTATAATTAAACGGTTCTATCCTTTATTAAAGGAAGCAATCGTATCTACTCCGATAGTCTAATAGCTTTTTCTTAACGTAGTCAAGAAGGAAATAAATTTATTACAAAATATTAAATGAATTTAAACAATTTTGAATAGCATATTTATTCGTTATTTAGAATAATAACGAACGAAAATATCGGCATTTGTACAGGTGAACGTTTAGACGCAGTGTTTCCCAAAGTGGGTGCTACCGCCCCTTGGGGGCGATAGAAGACTCGAGGGGGGACACCGGAAGATCATGGGGGCGATAGAGGGGCACTAAAAGGCTTGGGAGTAGTAGGAACATTGAAAGACAATGAGGCTAAAGAAATATATGCACTAAAAGAGGAAGGTAATACGAAAAGTTTGGGAAACACCTCTGATGATTAAAAATTAAACTGTTAATATAATTTTATGAACTTAATAAATTATAAATAAATTTATTTTTTTTAAAAGAAATAAAAAAATCGAGGTCTTTAAGCAGTAGTAGATTAAGATCATTCGGGGTCCCAGGCACAGAAGATTGGGAACTCCTCTACGTAATTTTATGGCGCTACAATTTCAATGGTAAAATTGTTTTATTTTATCCGATTTCGAGACTCCCGAGATCAGTACATTACTAGACATGTGCCTCAGTGTCTATCTAGTAAGGCAATCCGGCATGGGCTTTAATTAACTTTAAAGCAGAATATGCCTATTTTGTTGAAAGAAATGTAAAATTTCAAAAACATAATTAAAACTTAAGTTATACTCAATTATTATGAATATGAATTTATTTTGAGGAAAATTAGAAATTATTTTTTGTTAATTTTTTTTTCTTTAAAGTAGTTAATAATTTGGATCAAGAGCCTGTCTAATTCTTTAAGCGTTCAGAATCAGGAATTACAATCATTCATTACTGGTCAAAATATTATTTCCTTTTATATTATAGGCATAATTTAAAAAAATCTGTATGTGAAATGGCATTAATCTTAAGTCTTTTCGATGGAATTATTGATCAAACAAACTTTGTAAAATATATAATAGATCATTTAGATTAAGTATTACGTAATTACATACTTTGTCTTTTCTAAATGAATATTTTAACAGCAAATCTTACAGTAATTCATTATTTACTTGGCGTATTTAACAATTTCATGGCTTACATTCATTCTAGATAATTANCTAATATCGTTTAGGTTTTGGCATATATATTAACACTAGCAATGGAATGGTTAATTTACATCAAGTGGAAGTCAAAGATAACGGAGGTGATGGAATACGTTACGTTTTTCACGATCCTTATATTGTAGTCAAAGAAACTTTTTGTCAAACTGTAAATCTAGGAACAAAACAGAAATATCCTTTTGTACTTAGTCAATATCAGGAACGGTACAGAACAAATTATCAACCATGTAAAAAGGTAATTATTAACTGTGTAACATTTTTACACATTTCTTTTTGGTTTTTAAAAAATTAATATGTATTTTTAGTTATTTCAAGTGAATGGCAATATGGGTCATACTCTCACGATTCATTTCCCAGTCATAATAAGCGATGAAGCTGATGAACAATATGCTGGTAAAATTGAAGTTTTTGATGGATATACTGATAGTAACCAACTCCTAGCAGTATTTAAAATAATTAACGGGACAAGACCTCAGAGCGTTACAAGTACTAGGAACAGCATTTATATGCATTATCATCCACCGATAGATAGCATGGTTTTATTTACTATCGAAGTTGAAGCAAATATAGGTGAGAAAAAGACGGGTCAATTTCGATCCCGTTTGGAAACCTTGCACTCCAATAAATAAAATATTTTCGATAAATTATATAATACAAAAATATCGTAAACATATGCTTTGTTTCCTATTATAATTACAATATAATAAGATAAGATACTGTATATATTCAATAATTAGGTGAATACGCTTGAATAATTTGTAAACGGTATAACAACGCTAATTTTGCTACTACAAAGATTTTTACGAGTCGTTAATCCATTAATAGGATATTATTCGCCTTAATTAGTATATTTATAGATAGATTTAATGATTTTTCAAAATAATATTTATTAATTATCGAAATAAACTTTATCAGTTAAACGATACCCATCGAATTTTTTCGGACTTGACCTTAGAATGAAAAACTGGCGATAAAATTGGAAAAAGATTAAAATTTTGTCATCGACCATCAGTTCAGATAAGGTTTTCTTTACTTTTATCGATAACACCGAAAGATCGCAAACTGTTTGTACAACGAAAACATATAATGAGCTACATAAAATACAGTAACGTTGATATTAAGCAATACTTTATTACCATTTTAACTAATTAATTTATTATATATCAGAGCCACATTGTTTATCAAACACAACTTGATAATAATATGTATATATTTATATATAATAGTTTATTTTCTCCTAAAATAAGCATGAAAGACGATACCGAATGTAAACTGGTACGGATATGAAGACGTTCATTGTTTACTTCGCTGCAGTTTAGCTTGTATATTTAAATAAGTGTAGAAATATTGCGATTGGCGTGAGTAATTCTCATATTTTAAAGTCATCAATTAATTTTTATTACTCCGCTCTTCATCGTTACCAATATAAACGCTTTTGTTCGTAACTGTGAATTTCTAAGAAAAATCTTATACACAACCTTGAGAATAACCTTTTCAATATTTCATCAGATATTTCTTGTCTAAGTAAGTGCTATTGGTTACCTACTTCAGCTTCTTGACAAGTAAATGCACAGTTTCAATTCATGGCTTATTTATGAATAATGATTACATATTAGCGTTTTTATCCTCTTTAATCTAATTAAATACCCTACTTAAATATTTAAACAAAAAAAAAAAAAAATTACGCCGTGTACTTTTTACGGGATCGCGCGCGCGAAACACATAAAATTATTAATATTGTTTTCTGCTTCAATGATTTAAAAAAATATAGCGAGTAAAAATTAATTTTCATTAATAATAATAATAATAATGTTTTCACACGCAAGCGAAATTCAATCTTTCATTTGTATAAGCAAGTTTTAATTTATAAATTGTCATAAATCATTCACGTGATTTTAAAGTTTCTATCTAATTAAAAAAAATATTTAGATGACGAATTACAATTAATTCATTGTATCAGAAACAGCTGTCAACATTAATCTATCATTCTNAACGGATTTAGCAATTGGAAATTATTTTGTTTTTTTGTGACGAAGATGCTTGAATGAACTTGAAATTTGAATAAAAATATTATTATAATATTAAAATGTATAATAATGTTAAATAAAATATTATTTAAAAGTTTACTGTTTTTATATGTGTATGTATTTTTAATTAAATAAAACGATGGATGTTGAAAAAAAAACTTTCTTAAATTAATTTCTAATGTAATGATTAACTGATTACTTTATTACGTAATTTAATTTTAAATTTTAGAATTAAGTTTATATTTTCGACGAAAAATAAAAATTTATAAATATTTATGCATTTAAATGCTTAAAATTTTTAAGTTATAAATAGATCGGCTAGAATTTATCGTCGAAAATTTGTTTAATTACTTAAGAAATTTTCTAAATAATAGTTCCGACCAATAATAAAAAAAAAACTAAATATTTAGCAAATATCTTTTATGTATTGCGAGGAATGAACGATATAAAATTGATTCGATTTTATTACAAAGGATTAAACTTATTATTTTATCATGTGAAAACCGCTTCATTGAAAAGTATGTGACTCTATATAACACAATAGGAGACAGCTGACTGACCAAAACAACCGACCACACCCACTACTAAAATATGTGACAGATCGATAAATTGGCACAAAAATATTAAATACGACCATTCATAACGACGTTTTTGCCTCTTAAAATTATACCAAGATATATATATATAAAAAAAAAAAAAACAGTACTAAGAAGCGTTACAGCGGCATTTTAGTCCGAAAGTAATTTAAATTTCAAGCTTGATCGCGATTGGTCGAAAGACTCAGGTAGAGAATGTTCACCTGATTGTGACGTCAAGAGCGTCAGTCACGTGACCGGAGTGGTTGTGAATATTAGATTGTAGGGAGTGTACTGCTAAAAGGACTGTTAGCGGAATGTCGTAGAAATTTATTTGATGTATTAGTAGCAATTGTCATTTAAAACACCGGGAAACTAAAGAATAATGTGATAGAAACAAGAGATTTTTATAAAAGTAACAGGTATATATTTCTTTTTGTTTTAATATGGCGGCCTTGATGATCGTCTGGTTTGTTGTATTTGTTTTCTGTCGTACGGCTGCTACTTCCATTATCGGAGGAACAATTCGCGAAGAAGTGATATTGACAATAGAAAATAGCCCTTATCGAGTCGATAAAGATATTATTATTGAAAAAGAAGGCAATTTGACGATAGATGCAGGCGTCCAGCTCCTTTTCTCACCTGGCACAGGTGTGACGGTTCGAGGTACATTGATTGCTAAGGTAAGTTCCTATATCTTAATTTTAAGGTGTAAATATCAATAAATAAATAAAACACAAAACACATAAAGAATTCGAATTAAGCCAGTCACGATGAAAAAACGAAATTTAGCAGACGATCCCGTTTCCGTTGGATAATCATTGACCTGATGACAGGAAGACAATTATTGGAGTAAGTCTACGTGCAAAGCTTCGAACACAGGAACATTAATTATGATTAGTATCAGACATATTGTCTCCTTCAGGTACTCATACTTGCCACCTTCCCCTTCTCTTAATAACTTCCCCCATCTGTGAGTAATACAGGAAGGCTATTGTGCAATTGATCACTACAGGAAACGGCTGGTTACTATTTGATTAAGTATTTCTTTATTCGTGTAACATCTTTCTTGTCTCGGAATCTTTTAAAAACCGGTAAAACTGATTCAAAAAAAAAAAAAAAGATTAATATTTTAAATATCAAATGCAAGAAAAGCTATAACGATTGTCTGTTAAATACAAAGGTCTCTTTTATAATAGATAATCACCATAACGATTATACAGATTAACGATTATACAAATAAAAGTTTGAGAGATAAAATATTTTGCTAGAAAATATTTTAAGAGATTCGTTTTTCGTCGTTTTCGCATACATTTCATTTTAATTGGTAATTTAGAATGTTTTGAAATATTTAAAATAAACACCACAAAGCAAATAAATAGAATGTTTCTTAATAGAAATTACATAGAGATTACTGTTTGGTAATAAAAGAACCGAAGTTGAACGGATGACCGGACCAAAACTGGAAATCTATTCAAACTGTTCGGTCATTTGAAAGTTTTTTTAAGACTCAGAACGGTTTATGAAGTTTTTTGTTTATAAAAAAAAACTTACTCGAATATGTTGCAATGAATAGTGATTAATATTGATAAGAGACTTTTATGAAATGTTATTAGTCACTTTTGTCAATTAATTTAAACTCATTTCATGTATATTCTGTTCCTTCTAAATTAGAATTATTTACTGTCGTAATCATTAAAAAGACAAGTAATACGACTGAATCATAAAGTCTGAATTAATATAATTGATCACCATTTTGAAAATAAAATTGATATTATTAAAATAACTTAAATTCAAATTTTCAGTTGTTTATATTGTAAATAATATGAAAACGAGCAAATTGTTTTAAATTCTTTGTTATTTATGATAAAATTTTTATTATTATTAAACTTTGATGGATATTGATAATCATATCTTTTGTTATTACAAATTTATTTATTGTTTATGCTTGCAAGATCTTTTCGAATTAATATATGCAAAAATTGAAGCAGTTTCAAATTTATAAATATGTACAGTATATATTATTTTTATCTACGGATAAGATACTTTTCAGCTGTATTTTTGAAGGAAATAAAACCATTAAGTGATTATTTATTTTTTTTAAATGTTAGATCTTTGCTCTAGACATATTTTAAAAAATTATCTTCAGTTATCATTTGAAAAAAAAAATTGAATGGTTGATATTTAGATTTAAACAGAATTTTTTTAACTTTAAAATCTAATTTTTTAATTTCATCATATTCTGCTTACAGTTAAAAAATTTTTTTTATTAATAAAAATAAATATTTTGAATTTAAATTTATAAAAGCTTGAAATCCATATTATCAACGCTAATAAGCCAATACTGAAGTAATTTCGTTCCGCTTTTTAATTTATATTCACAAGAAATATAGAATTTTGATTGCTTATATTATCAGTTGAAACATTTTAACGAAGCATTAAAACTTAAAAATAAAAATTCCTCATTTGGAACTACTAATAATTTATAAGATTGAATTGATCACAATAATTTTCAATTTGATATTTTTAGGGTAAAGTTTCAATCTTTGCACAAGAAAATGCTCACCCTACAACACAATTATAGAAAATGCTTTTCTGATATAATAAAATATTGAAATGGCATACATACATACATATAAACATAGGAAATTAAAATACAGTGGAACCTCGGTATACGACCTTAATCCGTTCCCGACTTATACCGAATTGGACGTATACCAAACCAACCTTTCCCATAAGAAGTAATGTAAAAATGATTAATCCGTTCTCGTGTAAAAAAAAATGGCTGGCTTAATACACCTCAGTTTCCTGGCTAGTTCCTGTTTCATTTTTCATGAGATCAGCGTGTATCTTTTTAGCTTTCTCGCAAATAATTGCTTCCGATACGCTGTCTCCAGCACTTTTTCAGTTATCCAAAGCAAAAGCAATTTCTCGACACGATCTAATGTCTTCGATCTCTGTTTACAAATTGATTTAACCCCTTTCGCAACGTTAGCAAGTTTAATAATGTCTTTATTTTTCGCGATTGTCGATATCGTCGTTCTCGGAATACGGTTGGCAATACGGAATACAGTTAAAATCTCGAACACTCGTGCCACCTTCGTATTTCTCAACAATCTCTTTCATCAGTTCTATTGTAATTCTAGTCATTTTTTTAGTTTTCTGTCGCTTTTCATTTGCCTTTTTGCGATTCGTGATTAATAAAAATAATAAAATTTTACTTACGAATTAAAATCAGAAGAAATTTAACAAAGTTGTAAACCGTTGCACCGCGAACGTCTAGTCTGGTCTAGTACACCGATAGTGCTACTTGTTCATTGATGGCGCGTATAATTGAATTAAGTCGTATACCGAACAAAATTTTTTTCGTCCAAACAGGACGTATTCCGAATTGGACGTATTCTAAAGCAGACGTATACCGAGGTACCACTGTATAAATAATTGTTTAATAGAAACAAGACATAGTTTTTAATGTAACAGAGTATTTCAAAAATTAAAATTGTAAACGACTGGCAAAACTTAAATATAGCCTAAATGTCTTTTTAACTATTGAGTTTCTTATCAAATGATTCTGAAATACATTTTGACTATACTTTGATAGAATTTTATGATATGATTGCTAAAAAACTGTTTGATACTTAGCAATGTATTCTATGAATATTAAATTCTATTTAGATATTGTAATATGTTGTTAGACATTTGATGATTCTAATTAGAATTTTCAAGTAATCGTTTCTAATTTCAATAGGGAGGTGTAGAAAAGGAAAATAGGATATTATTTACCCGTAGAGTGGTATCAATTATCGAATATTCGACAGATTTGCCTAGATGGTCACAGATTCGCCTTGTAGATGGTAATTCCATATTAGAAGGACGATTACAGATATTTTACAAGGATAAATGGAGATCAGTTTGCACAAATTCCAAGAAGTAATTGTCCAGAGAATTATCTCTAATTATATCTATAAACTTCAAATATATATATATATATAATTTTATTTCACTTTTTCAGTTGGACAGAGGTGGATTTACACGTAATTTGTCAACAGTTAGGTTTTTCGGGAGGATCAATTTATCATTGGTTCCAACGTAATAAAGCAGATAGTCAACTTATGTATCAAAATCCTAATTGCAGTGGACGAGAACTATCTATTTCAGAATGTCCAAATTGGAATAAAAGAAAATTAGGAAATGGAATATGCGGTAAGTAAAAATATTTTATCTGATTGAAATAAAATTTGCTTAAAGAAACTTTTTCTTTTAGACTTCCATTTCGATATTGGGATTCAATGCCAACCTCTCTTACAATCAGAAGTTCAGTCGTATTGGAGGGGAATATCTTTCGAAAATGCGCTCAACGAACGAAAAATACAGAATGATAAAATTGTTTATCGCAAAGAATCTTCGTCAATTTTACAAAATGTTGATATATTATATGCTGGCAGAGATGCAGATAATAAAGCTGTTTCTGCTTTGCAAATAAGAGGAGTGCCACCTGAAATGAAAGGCCTCAACATCCGTTGGTCTGCTTTTAACGGAATTAATATTACCCAGCCTCAGGAAGCTTTAAATATCGAAAACTCCACGATTGCTAATAATAGAGGTAAAAAATGTTGACATGTAGTGTTAGCCTATACAGGAGTGGTAGACAAAAACATTGCACTATGTATTTTGGCCCTGTATAGTTTATCTAATTAATTAATTTTAACTAATATCGTTTAGGTTTTGGCATATATATTAACACTAGCAATGGAATGGTTAATTTACATCAAGTGGAAGTCAAAGATAACGGAGGTGATGGAATACGTTACGTTTTTCACGATCCTTATATTGTAGTCAAAGAAACTTTTTGTCAAACTGTAAATCTAGGAACAAAACAGAAATATCCTTTTGTACTTAGTCAATATCAGGAACGGTACAGAACAAATTATCAACCATGTAAAAAGGTAATTATTAACTGTGTAACATTTTTACACATTTCTTTTTGGTTTTTAAAAAATTAATATGTATTTTTAGTTATTTCAAGTGAATGGCAATATGGGTCATACTCTCACGATTCATTTCCCAGTCATAATAAGCGATGAAGCTGATGAACAATATGCTGGTAAAATTGAAGTTTTTGATGGATATACTGATAGTAACCAACTCCTAGCAGTATTTAAAATAATTAACGGGACAAGACCTCAGAGCGTTACAAGTACTAGGAACAGCATTTATATGCATTATCATCCACCGATAGATAGCATGGTTTTATTTACTATCGAAGTTGAAGCAAATATAGGTGAGAAAAAGACAATATCAATTTTTCATTTATTAAAATTTAAAAGTTTAAAATTAAATATATGAAATTAAAATAACTTTGTAGAATATTTAACATTGTACAAATCAAAATTTCTTTTACCAGGTAAGGCATATGATTTAAATTTAACCGATTGTATTATTGCAAATAACAATGGAAGAGGTTTGGCAGTGGAAAATCAAAGATCAGGCACATTTATTAATTGGACACACATCACTGGTAGTAACCATATAGGAGGTGTTAATATTCTCGATGGATGTGGAGATGTTGTTGTTAACAATAGTGACATAAATGGTAATATTGGAGATGGCATCAACATTTCTTATGCTGGAGGATTCAGACATTTTGACAGATCACGTTTCTCAAATAACACAGGCAACGGTATATCACTTTGGTTTAATGAAACATCTCATAACCGAGTTTTCAATTTTACTACTCATTTATCTTATTCCACCTTTTCTAATAATGAAATAGGTGTATTTATTGGTAATATTTGTTTAGAAAATTCTTTATGGAATATTAGCATGAATACTTTCAGTTTTCAAAGGAACCACAGCATACATTTTCTTTCCTGTCTTATGGAAAACACTTCGAAAAAAAGTTCTCTCCAAATTTTCAATAATAAATTCGAATATAATCAAAGACTGTCCATTCATATTGTACCAGCTCTAAATATCCATGCTGTAATACAACACAATAGATTCACTAATCACGAAAGAGGAGTTTTATTGATTTCCAATCAAGGTTTATATCAGGTTAGTTCAATATCGTCAATAGTAGAAATTGCTTTCAATGAATTTACCGAGAATAAAGGAACGTTTGTGTGCAGTGTCGGCTTGTCAGAAAATAGTTTGGAACAACAATTAAATTTCACCAAAAACCGACTGTTCAATAATATAATCAAAGAACCATTTGCTAGTTTGAATCCTCGATCGAGAGCAGCTGCAGTTATAGCGGTTTCGTCGACTAATGCTCTAATTTATAGGAACTATTTAAAAAATCCTTCTTCGTCTTACGAGTTGAGTTCTCATTTAGATGTGCCGTCAGCTATTATAAACGCAACATATAATTTCTGGGATGAAGAAAAAGATTCTCGCGTAGTCTACGAGAAGATATTTGACATTAAAGATCGATACAATCTAGCTCAAGTAGAATTTTTGCCATTTATTACCTTGGGTACAGATTTAGATACTACGTATACATCTAAGGAAGATGAACGACATTTAATTATGCCTTTTCGACAAGGCGATACAGTAGGCGGTATAGTGATGGGTGAAGTTACAATAGAGAAACTTACAGTCACAGTAACTAGAGACATTTATGTCACGCCTGGTAGCAAATTACATATTCATCCAGAAGCGAAACTCCTGTTTAAACCTTTCATAGGTATGATGGTTCAAGGAGAACTGCATAGCGAAGGAAGAGAAGGTCGGGAAATTGTCTATTCTATTGCACCATCCACATATTCGGGAATAGTAAGCACAAATGTTTATCTTTCTAATCAAACTGAAGGTAAATTAGAAGTGCAAATAGATGGTATAACGGGAAGTGTTTGCTCTTATGGATGGGATATTCAGGATGCGGCTGTTGTTTGTCATCAGTTGGGATTGGTATTGAATCCTCACGACTGGTTATTGGAAAGATCTCAATTTCATTCTGGCAATAAGCCTATCGTTTTAAGTAACGTACAATGTACAGAATTGGACACCGACTTGACTAATTGTAAAGCGGAAAGGATGCAAGATTTTGAAAATTCTTGCATGGAAGAAGTAGGAATTCGCTGTTATCCTCAATCTTGGGCAGGGCTGAGACTTGGAATGATTGCTAAAGAAAGTTTACTTAAACATATCATAATAGAAAATGCAGGAATTTTTGATTATACAACGCACAATTTTAAACCAGCCTTGCAAGTGGACTTTAATCATCATAAATTAGAAAATATGATAATTCGTAGAAATTCTGATTCCGGTTTGGGCATTATGTGGAATGACATATTTTATAATTCTGACAGACGTAAAGTGATAGACAGTGAGATGCTTCATAATGTTAGGCATGGAATAGTAACACATTCTCAGGGATTGCATATTACCAGATGTAATCTACTTAAGAATTCCGAGAGTGGAGTTCATTACGATCCTATGTTTACTAGAGACGATCAGAGAGATTTGATTTCCTGGATTAATAAAGACGATAAAAATTTATTTATCACAATTCCCGAAGATATCAGAAACGGTAAAATTTCAGTAGAAAGGGAGAGGATGTATCTGGTTTTCAAGCCAATTGAAGAAATGAAACCTGAATATAAATTCCAAATATCGGCAAACGTTGGACAAAAATTAGGAATTATGGTAATTAGCCCATTTAGTAGTCATTCCACTGAAGAAATGATCATACTCAGGCCGGATGTCTATAATTTCTATAATTCTGAACGCTTCATTTTGGATTTGAGAAAAAATTTAACGTCTTTCCCTTTACGTAATCCCAGTTATTCTGTAGATGTTGAATATCGTCCAGGTGATCGCCCCGATTATTCTGCCATATTGCATATTACTCGATTAGAAGGTAAGAAATATTTTATTATTATAGCCTTATAATAATTCTTTTAGCTAACACATATTTTATTGCAGGGGAACATCATGATGATGATGATAATATTTATTTGAAAGTAACTTCATCAGAAATATCAGAGTGCGGAAAAGGAATTTCCAGTAATCATTACAATTCAGATTTTAGCGATAATGGTGATCATTATCATCGCTATAGTAATGAGACAATTATAGTCGAAGACGTGCGGATAAAACATTCCAAAGACAAAGCATTGTTCGTCTGGACGCCATTTTGGGATCCATCTTTATCCAATTTAGCGGAGATCAATTACACACTTTTAAGAAATACTTTCGAAAACAATGCGGATGGCATCGTGCAATATAACAGAAATATACGTAACTCAAAAAATTTGTTTCATTGGACTATAAACGATACGCACATGGTTAATAATTTAGGAGGTGGTATCGATGTCAGATTGCCTTTTGTGTGGCAATATTCTGAAAATTATACTCATTCTTTCGTTATGCACAATACCTCATTTTCTAACAATGAGTTCTTTTCATTTTCTTTATCTGGACACTTTTCAAGAGTTAATATGACGAATAATACTTTTTTCAGAAATATTTGTAAGAAAGGTTTGATGAGTTTATCCGGAATGGAAAAAGAAACATTAATGGAACATAATTTGTTCGAGTTAAATGCTTGTAAATATATTGTTGATTTTAATATGGAAAGTCACGCCGACAAATTTGGGACAGTCAATGCTAATTTTCAAAGAAATATATTGAGGAAAAATAATGTTAATAATTCTCCATCGGTTCGTAATTACGAACCTTATAGTTACAGCGTGGCCATCAGAGGAGTTCAACAGATTAACATGACTCGCAACATATTAGATAATCCATATTTAGAGTATGAATTTATAGCGGGTATACACACCGGTTCAATAGAAAATACGATTAACGTTGCCGAAAACTGGTGGGGAACAGTGAATCATACGTTTATTAAAAACAGAATTTTTGATTTTGACGATTGGAACAATTTTGCTATAGCTGACTATTTTCCATTTCTATCAAGCGAATCCGTCGATGCATTCACTTATCCTCCTCCTGTTTATACCGAATTTCCAAACTTGGATTTACCATTGGGTGGACGAATCGACAAGTCATTAACACTCAGAAAAAGGAACACGCCTTACATTGTTAAATCTGATTTGACCGTTTTGCCTAATGTGACACTTACTATCGAAGCAGGAGTGACAATGGAATTCTATCCAAGTATAGGTATATTAGTTTTGGGAAATTTAAGAGTATTGGGCAGGATAAATGATCACGTTATTCTGAAACCTATAAAAATAGAATCTTTACCTCGCTTCAGACGAGTGAGTCCTCGATTAAGCTCCGACGTCAGACTATGTATTGATGAGGAATGTAAGGAACGACGAAAGGACGGATTTCTAGAGATATTTAATAAAACTACTCTTCAATGGATTCCGGTCTGCGATCGTCGTTTTACCGAACGTAATTCGGAAGTAGTTTGTCGTCAGTTGGGTTATAGCACGTTCAACGTTCATCTACGACGAGGTCATAGATTCGACGTCGATTTAACAAGTTTGAGTCGCTTCAAATATTGGCCTCATCCCTTAGAATGTTCGGGAGACGAACCAAAATTAACAGAATGCGAATTTAGATTAAATGGTTATAGCGATCATTCTTACGATTGTTCCGATCTAGAAAGTTTTGTATACATCTATTGTGGAGAGGATAGTTTGAGCGAAAGATACACACGCTGGGGAGGATTAAGATTTTCACTTCCTAATTTCGAAAGAAGTAATCCGAAATTCCAGTTGAAGTCTAGACAAGAATCTTCTACGGCTATACTCAATCACGTAGAGATACAAGGGGCTGGAATATTACATGGCGAAAACAATGCCGCTCTTCAAGCAGTATTACGAGAAATTCAGATGGACGATGTGAGAATTACGGAAAGTGCATCTCACGGTGTCGAAATCATAGGATCTTCTGGAAGTATTTTTTTCAATAACATGATTATAGAGCATAATCTCGGAATGGGTATCAATTTTCTAACTCTGATCGGAGAAACTTCTCAGAAGTCCGATTTGAAATATAAACCATTAAAGGCTATCAGTTTCCCGTATAATGTCTTCGGAATGGTCAGTGTATGTGATACGAATAAAGAAATGGTCGTGCACGAACGAATACTTTTATATTATAAATACGACAATAAGCCAGTCGATTGTGTTAAGATATTTAGCAGCGCTCATTATATTAAATCGTTAGGTTTTCGACTTTTGCAATTTAATTTATTTAACGCTACCGATTACGCCGCTTCGCCAGATATGATCAAAATCATCGACGGAGATATATTTAACGAAAGTATGCCTGTGATAGCGCAATTAGGAGTATGGAATAAGAGCATCGATATGTCATCCGAAACGAAATTTTATAAATCGTCCGAAAGTACACTTAGTGTGCACTTGCATGCATCCGGAGCCAGTGGCATTCATGGTTTTATTGCCGAGATCGTTGCTTTGCCTCCTTTCTATACTGGAATGGGTAAGTACTATTCAAAACATATACTAGATTAAATAAATATTATATATATATCTAAAGTTATAATGCCGAATTCAAGCACATAATGTGATAATTTTGTGAATTTTATAAATTTCAGATCGCGGAGTGATGCACAACGTATCCAATTCTAAAATATCTCGAAATGTTTTGAACGCTATTTCTTATAGAAGTGCCGGAGAAATTGCTCCCATAATAACATTTAAATATAACCGCATAGAAAACAACGGCAAAGAATTTTTTGGCAATTTCACATCGACTAATAGTTCCGTGCTGTTGGACGTAAGAAACGCGGATGAGTTTGTTGCACACAACAATTTATTTCTGTCAAATCAAGGAGGATTGCACATTTATGCGGATTCCGAAGGAAACGTTCCTTCTTTGGATGGAATAGTGACCAACAACTTATTTATCAGAAATAAAAACAGAGAAGTGTTGTTAATTAAAGGTGAAAATACTTATCAAGAAGTCAAAATCTTCCGCAATTATTTCACAAGAAATTTCTCACCGTATTCGAGTAACATAAAACTTACGCGAATAACGTCCGAATTTTCATCTAATGTGCTATATAATAATACAGGAATTCACCAATTGTCAGTTTTCGATTTCGAGGGGACTTCTTCTAATCAACGCTGTATAAAAAATTATTTTTTTGATAATAAAGCAGTCCAACCGGATGAAAGAAGCACTATAGTGGCTGCTAATCCTTACCAAATCTTCCACAATAATTATTTAGTTAATCCCGATAATGATTACGAACTGGCCACCGTAAACCAGTCCAGGTAATAAACATTTCATTTTTCCAATTAAATTGCCTCAATGTCCTTTTTTCTTATTAATATGTAAATTTTCGACTATAAATTCGTATCTTCTATTATCGTAAACCTGTATAGGTATACGAAATAAAATAAAAATTGTTTTCTGTTAATCTTTGTAATATTATCTGTAAAACCAGAATAATAAGTCCTGATAATAGAAGATACGAATTTATAGTCGAAAATTTACATATTAATTTCATTTTTCCGTTTCTTTATAGCTATAGCAATAGCAAAAAGTTAATTTTGTTATTTTAAATTAGATACATCAATTCTTTAAAGAATAAGAACGAATTCTATCACGCTTATATTGATGCTTCTTATAATTGGTGGGGTTTTGAAAGTTTAACGGCAGTTCAAGGAAGAATCAAAGATCACGACGACTTCGAGGATTTCTTAAAAGTCAAATTTCATCCATATTTTAAAGATAATTCTTCGGTTTTAAGTGGTATTTATAAAATTTCATTTTAAATTAATCTTAAGTAATTATAAAAATTCATTAAGTTAAAATTTTAAAAAGGAAAATGCGCCGGTGGATGGCATAAAGTTGGATCTACATGTTTCATGTATGTTGGGGGAATAATGACTTATAACGAAGCTAAAAAGTTATGCGAGGTAAGGTTTCTATTAATAAATACTTAATGATAAATATTTTTTAAACAAAATTTAAATATTTTGTCTTTTAGTCCGATAACGGTTCGATTCCCTACGTAAAAAGTAATCACGAGGAACTGAGTAATTTTGTTAAGACTCAGCAAATATATTATAAGCGAAGTATTAATCGCTTCTGGGTACAATCTATCGACATACCTCTAAGACGCTGCGCAATCTTACAAGACGAAACGGTGCGAGAACATAATTGCGACGATTACTTACCCTTTCTCTGCGAAAGAGGTTCGTAAATTATATTAATGTCGAAACTAGTATTTTATTCTTTTAATGAAACATTCTCTATTTTTAGACCCGCAAATCATCATAACGGCACAGCAATGGTATCAAGAACCTCTAGCCATAGCAGCATTGACAGTTGCTGCCGTAGCGGCGATATTTACAATCGTGTGCGTGAGTTTCTGGCTGTGTAAATCTCGCCAACGATACAGAGAAAAATTAAGTAGAAGAAATTCCATCAGAGCATCTATGAGATCTAATCGTTCTCTTACGAGTGCCGGTTACGGTAATATATGTTACAACAGGAGGTTAGAACAACCAGCCAAACTAGATATCACTTCAGAGAAGAAAATAAACGGGAGTATCGATTCAATCGAGAAGTCGCCTTCTCGATTCAGTTGTTCTCTGGATGATACGCACAGTTACGATACTTCGGAAACTCAAAACCAACCCGTTTTCGATACCAGATTCAACGACATACAACTAGAAAACGAAACGGCCAATACTTTAGTAAGACCCACTTTCGATTTAACCTACAAGAATAACGGATTCGTAGAGCGATCGGAAGAATCTAGAGATTGGAGCACGGGAAGTGATTCTACTCTGAACATGAAGAGGACATTAGAACAGGATAACCGTGAAAGCAAAGACGAAATATATCAAAGCACTCCGTCCATGTATAATACCACGAGTAGCAGCAGTAATTACGATTCTAAAAGACCTCTAGAAACCGCCATGTGATAAAACAAAGTGCCTAAAGATAATCTTAAACACTGCCTTATTCAAACTCGTGTTCCTCTTCTCTGTCGAGAATTTTTCTGTACATAGAAACGTTACTCCAATGGGATAAATCCATAAATGATGTGTGCTAACTTTTTTTTATTTATTGACTTGATTTGAAAATATTCAATATTTTCAAAATGAAAATACCAGCAATCACGGAATTAAAACAGTTAAGTGAATTCCGTCTTATGTTATATACGAAACAGTTGATTTTCTTACATATATAATTGGAAAAAATGTACAAAATGAGAAGTCAACATCAAATTTGTAAAGGAAAAATTTTAAACCGTATTCTTTATACATTACTTAAATTTTATGTGGATCTTTTGATAACATTTTTTGAAAGAAAATACAGAAAAATTGATAAAATGTCATATTTTTTTTATTTCTAGAATAATTTGTCATGCTACAACAAGATCATATCACATTTTATTACCGAATATTTTTTTTGTTTTTGCAAAATTTTATAAATCAATTATCGACAGTTTGGCATCTAGAAAAATCCTTAATACAGGCTTTTTTCTTATCACTAATCACAAATAAAAACATTATATATTTTATTAAAATTTCTTGTCATAATAATAATAATTTTATTAAAACTTAATCAACTTTTGTACGTTGTTAACATAACTCATTCCTGTTCAACGAAAGTTACACGATCATAAAATTGTGACAGTACAACGATTACTTTGATCACTCAAAAATTTGCATAGTATTCTATGCAATATGTTAAAGTAACATAGATATTAGGATTATTATTATATGAGTTAATATAAACGATAACTCAAAATTAAATACTATTTAAAATTTCTTATTGTGCAGTTCAACGCTAACAAGAAAACGTACGTTTCAAACGCTTCAAAGGGTATTCAAGTGAGGATCGCCAACTGCCCAGTTTCGTTTGTATTATCAATAAATCTTATATTTAGAAAAAAATTTTACGAAAACACTTGAGAAAATTTAACGTAATTTCAGTGTAATGTTTTAGTTTTTGTAACTATATATAATTTAATTATAAAAGTTAATACGGTTGTATGTAAATGGCGATTTGTGTTACCTTACTTAATTAAACAGTTAATGTAAAAACTTTAACTGTTTAATTACAATATTCCTATTTATATTTCTTAAAAATTAAATTATACGATTTTATTACACACAAAACATTGCTTAAAATTTAGTGTCTCGTGTGTAATGTTTTTAATCGAAATTTAAGTATTGGATTAGTTGCTATTCCCAACCTTCATTTCGCCCCCTAAAATCTCATTTGAAATATTGAAATAAAATTAAGTCAATTATTCGATTTTAAGCATATTCTGAAAAGTAAAATGTCTAATACTCCATAGACAGTTTTTTTCAGTACGCAACTAGAATTCGTCACCTAGACAGTTGGCAATTCTAATTCGAATCGAATAATCATGGTGGCTTATCCTTTCCGGATATCAATCCCGTTCCTCTACCACGCTCGATAACGAATACAACTTTTAACATTTCGTAAAGTGTAAAATATCGGAAGGAATCCAGAATGGCTCCCGTCGAAAATTCTTCAGAAAATAAATTTCGAGGAGCTATTTAAAAAGTATTAGAAGTATCAAAAATTTCTCATTAATAATAAAGTTATTCATACTCCTTTTATATTGCATTCAATTGAAAGTCTCCGAGACGGGATACAAATTGGATTCTTATTCGAATTACACTCGCCAAAAAAAAATTAATAATAATAATAATAATAATAACGTAATTGTATACGTTAAATATTGCATTTACGACTTAAAATATAATTCGTTTTGCTATTTTTTTTCCATTAAAGATAATTAACTGTTAAGTTAATCGTAAAGGCATTATTAATGACGAGAGATAGCTAAACGTGAATACCCTTATCATACAACAGTTTTAACGCTATCTCAATTCTTTCGTTGAGCAGGGAATATAGGAAATTATTAAATACAAAACTATTTCGGGATTCTTTAGTTACAAATACATTAATAAATAAATATATTTATATATATATATATATTTAATAAACATAAAACATTATTGGATTAATGGTAATTGTCCTACACGTCGTGATTTCCAATTCTTCTACACGATGGGCGGTTCTGATTATAAAACGAATATAGCTTTTGTTTTTTTCTTTTTTAAATTATCTATAGGAAATCCGGTAACGCGAATCGATTTTTTTTAAAAAAACAATAATATGTTTATACAAATTAATTACACGATCAAACAACTTAAACTGGTAAGAATTACAACAACCGAACGTTAGGAAACGATCCGGGAAAAAGAGAATTTTTAAAAATCCAGCTCCATCATTAACACGACGACGTGGATTATGTACAAAAACTAATTTATTCCCGGAAGTAATCGATTTTTTTTTTCTTTTCTTTTTTGAAAAATTAAGTATTCGGAATTTTCTCTCCATAATATTCCAACAGATTGACAATAAAAACTCATAACAGAAAATATTATGTTGCGATGATCATCGCAATATAATATAATATACATATATATGTATAACTTTTTCGATAACTGTCAGGGAATTACTTTAAAAAATGGATCGAAACAGAGGTGGGAATGCCACTCGATTTAACGTCGGTTGCATTCTTCAAAGGCCCCAAAATGTTGAGTGAATTAATAGAAATCAAACTAGTGCACTCCTTTTATTATACACCCGTGTCGGAGTTACTCGACGATTGTTCTGGAAAAAAAATTTATGATCTGTTAGTTATTATAAGCTTATTTAAAAAAATAATTTATATTTAATAAAGGAAAACCGTTTTGCACATTATTATGTGTAAGGCAGGATTCGACCTTACCGCTACGTTTTTAATTAAGTGGGGGGTGACGAACTATTCCGGTTTACCCGGGACAATCCCCTATGTGTGTTCATTGACCTACACCCTGATAACGCCAAAACGCCGGAATTTTGGAAAGAGATCTTATCTACTGGTAGGGATAAAAATACTTCACCAGGAAATTCATAACTTTTTAAAGTAGATTGTTTTGTAAGGATCTAAATAAATATCTGGTTTGAATAACTGTAGATTACTCTGGTTTTACTCAATACAGAAGTTGCTAATATGAACTAGCATGTGATTATAATAAAACAAATAGCGCACAACCTTTATTATTATTATTTTTCTAATTGATACCCTAACTAGCGTACTTTGGCGTGGGATACATACTTTATTTCTTTAAATTTTAAAAATACATTATTTGAATATTAGGAAATCTTGAGATACTTCTAAAAGTTTATCATATTGTGAAAAAAGTTCCAACTTGAAAATAGTAAACATCCTTTCTAAAGCCAGATGGTCGATATAATTAGGTTTCATTTCTAACGCTCTGAGGGACCCAGAATCGAATACGGGTAAGCAATCCCCGAAATTTTTCATTATCGGTCTGCCACCTTCCATGTGGATCTGGCCGAACTCTCAACGGATATGATTAAAAAAGGTCTTTATAAGGTCTTTCTTACGTCCAATTTATCAATTTCAAAAGTTGATTACTTTTTATATTTTTATAATATTCTAACTTTTTGACCACCACTTGCATACATATGTAAGACACGTGATTAATTTTGGATAGCAGTATATCGAATTAATCCTACTACTGTTAGAGCTTGGCAATTTAATCTTGGTTATACACACACATTCAACAGCCTAAAATGCACGCAGTGCTAAACTATACACTTTTTTATTTATTTATTTATTTTTTTTGCAAAATATTTTAAATAGGCCATTTCTGCCTTCTATAAAATTGAAAAACGAAATATAAAAGAAAAATATCTGCAAAAAGTGCTTATTTGCAATATTTCTATTTTTCTATTTCTAAATTCATTATTAAGATTTATATTACAAATCAAGTAAGAAATAATAAATGAATAAATAATTTATATATTTGTCAAATAATATTTTCACAAAGCTAAAAATCTATCTATCATTATATAAAATCATAAATCTTCTGACAATTACTGTAATCAAAATATAATTCTTCACCGATGGTAACTAAATTACAATGGAATTTCATATATCAGTTATTTATTTATTTTTACAAAGAATGCTATCTTGATATCCTGTTGATATAAAACAATTTTTTAAAACAATTTTATGATAGAAATCAAATAATTCATTAAAAAAATATGCTTTAAAATTCTAATTTAAAACAACAGCTCTGATAATAAAACCTTTTTAAATAATACAAGAGTATCTCAATTAATGCAAATTCATTTAGTGTGGAATTTACCTAACTTATAATGTGATTTATAATATGCACCAGACAACTCAAAGTGGAATGATTCACTATAATGCATGATGACCCACTATAAAGTAGCATGCAAATTTGCAAATTTAAGATTTAATATTTTATTTCTTGTATCTCCAATTTGTAAAAAGACTCTTGTATTTGTTAATAAGTAATGTCACTGCTTATATATCAAATTTTAAACAATTAAAAAATTAAAAATTTTTATAGGAAATAAATAAATTATCTTAATCACTAATACGATATTTTATGATTATTTATTCTTTACTTGTAATGCTGTATTTTATATTATATATACTGTTGATTATATGGACCCCAATACAATGGATTTTAGAAAAGAAAAACTAAATCTGTTTCTCCAAGGAATAGAAATACAGTATTTGAGAATATCAGACTATGACTGCTAGACAGTATCTGCCAGTTATTGTTTATATCCCCATTTCCTTCCTTCCTAAAAGTATTTCTCATTGGAATGTTTATCTCTCTTATCATCATATCGCATTTAAAAATTTTTTATAGTTGACATTTTTGTATACAATGAATAGCTGGCATTATTGGATCATTACTTTCCCCTAGTGGTCTATTATATAGAGATTATTAACTGTAGTATATATATATGTATCTGTATGTTTGTGTGTGCTTGCACATGGGATTTTTGGGAGTCAAGGGGATTGGAAGAGGTAGACCAACATCCTGCACTTTGGTTATCAATAGTCTAATGTATAAAAACTGTGCCCTCCAATTATCCAAATCACCTTAAATAAATTACAATTGCTTTGTAATTTATTGAAGGTGTTTTTTTAATTTGTATGTTAGGCCTGGAACACACATGCGTAAAATCTAGTATAAAACAGAAAGCATAAAATTTTTCTGAAATTTTGGCTGAAAAATAACTGAAAAAAAGAGTAGAGTATGTCTCTACTTTTTACGTGGGTAAAATTTTTATGCCAAAATTCATCCAATAAAGAGAAGTCTTTTTTGTGAGGTCAGAGTAAACACGTGATTTTTATTCTAATAATGGTGGCAATGGTGGTTAGCCCTACAATTGTGATGGTCTCCAAGAAACGAAAAATAAATGAAACAGAAGACTTTATTAAATCCTTTCGACCATATCAGTGTCTTTATGACAAAAAAGTGACATGTATAAAGACACTGTATTTAAACAAAGTTTATGGATGGCCACAGGTGCTAAATTTCAAATAAGTAGGTCTAGTAGAATCAATATATAGTATTTAGATCACACATTATTTCAATTCGGAATACAAGTCTATTAATTTAAATTTTCTAAATTATAGCAGAAACAGCAGAGAAAAAATGGAAGGTACAAAGATATATGAGAGAAAAAAAATTAATAAAATGTAGCACTGTTAGTGGCAGTGGCATTTCCTATTCAGTCAGAATTTTTACATATGTGTGTTCCGGCATAAAAGCATAAAACAGAAACTGAATCGAAACCTGATTTCTGATTCAGTTTTCTACCACACAATTTTATGCATGTGTGTTCTTGGCCTTACTTAATATTGTGATACATGATTTTCAATATATGAAGTGATACTGTCAACTGTAGAATAAAATACTTGAATTGAAGATTTAGGATATTCTCTAAATATTTTGAATTAAAGTCAGTTTAACAAACTTGTTTAGTAAAAATAGAAAGTGAGTGGAGTGAATAGTTTAGCAGATTAAATTTATATATAAAAAAAATTAAGTTAAATTTTAAAAAAATGTTTAAAAATCAGTACCTTTTACGCGATACCTTTCTGCTGGTCCCCAGATACGTATAGTACCATCATCAGATGCACTTGCTAACATACTAGGATAAGTAGGATTCCATGCAACACAGTTTACAGTACGGGTGTGGCCAACAAGAACTGCAATTGGCACTTCACGTTTTATGTGCCATACATATACTTTATTGTCTATAAAAGCAAAATACATGATAAATAATGCTGTGTCAACTTATCCAAACAAATTACAAATGAAATTTTATAACTTAAAATATGAATTAATTTTATTATAATATATTAATTAAGAACTTTTTAAAGTTTTCATGATGATGAAAGAAAGAGTAATTTGACTTTAGGAATTACTTGATATAAAACAAAAATTAAATAAACTTTTTTTCAAAATTATTCATTTATTTATAAATAACTGATTTGTAAAAAGACACAGCACATTTATGAATTTCTTGTAACAGAAATCAGTTTTCTGGGTTTGAGATAAATAGAAAACAAATATTCAAGGTTGAAACTTACATAATATTTTGGTTTTTAATAACTTTTTTAAAAATAAATATCAATTAAATACTGTAAAAATTAATTAAACCTTTTCTATGTGGTACATTATTTAATCAGGGACCATATATCAGTAAAAATTTGCCCTTTTTTGTCACCATCGTCACTCGTCATCAGAAATCAAGATATCCCTAATTATGTAATTAGTTATAATTACGTTAGAAGTTAAAACCATTCACAAATATACAGGAATCATTATCAGTGATTCCCATTCCTGAATTTTACAATGCTTGAGACTTCAGGTCTGTATTAGATTTCTTCATATCATTCCACAATGATGTTTGTCTATGATCTGTTATCTATAACTGTCTGTCTTTTGTTTAGCTTGTATGAAAGAAAATCACTCAGGAGGGAAATATTGTAATTTCCAAAATGCAGTAAAATAAGTTGCTGATTTATTAATAAATATGGCATCTATGGATGTGATAATTACCAGAAAATTACAATATTTTGACTGTTTATATATTGATATTGACATGATGTTTGTCTATTTTTTACATTCCTGCAGCATCTTATTGTGTCAGTATGCTTATTCATCTCCACACACCGGAATGTACTAACAATAATTCTTACTTTTAACCTTGTAACCGGAGTGGTTGTAATTATACAACCACTCCGGTTTTCGACGCCCCTTCTGGGCTCTTCCTCAGGCCTTTTCTATCGAATACTTTCTTTTGAGCCGTTTATCTTTCAAATCATTGATAAACTCTGGTACTCGAATAAATATTAGCCGGCATAGCTATGAATACTTATTCGTCTCCTTAATACTTAATATTTGTTAGTATATTCTGGTGTGTGGAGACAAATAGGTATTCATAGCTATGCCGGCTAATATTTATTCGAGTACCAGAGTTTGTCAATGATTCGAAAGATAAACGGCTCAAAAGAAAGTATTCGATAGAAAAAGTCTGAGGAAGAGCCCAGAAGGGACGTCAAAAACGTTCACTAATGTATTATACAACCACTGTGGTTACAAGGTTAAAAGTAAGAATTATTGTTAGTGTCAGTATGCTTTCTTAAAAAAACTTTGGAATTTTTGATGAAGGATCCCTGTATCCATGATTAATATTTTACCCATTTCTTTCAGCTACTAAGCTTCATACAGCACTGTTTGTAAGAAGACTTCCAAATTGATTCTTCTATCATATTAAACCATAAATAAATTTAAATTTGAGAAACTAATTTTATTTATTAAATATTTAAAGACTATAATAAATTGTATAAAGTAAATAATGAATTTTTCAGAAAATGTTAGCTGCCAGATCATCACAATTTTTATTTTGCAGACTGACACATTAGATAAGCAATTATTTATTCTGACATCATCACAATGCCTGGCTGCAATTTTTAATCATATTTTTAATTTATTTAATTTAAAATATATGCTCTCCACCTCAAATTAGTAGTGTCTTGCCCTGTACATCATACTTTTCCTGCTAGCAATAGAGTTGTGCCAGTCATCTATCTAACTCTTTTCAGGAGAAAATTTTTGAATTGAAATATTGTGACTTTCACTGCAAACCAGACATTCGTATATAGTTAACTGCAGCCTCCTGCCCTTAAGCTTTCCATATCTATCTCAACTTTCATCTACCTAACTCTGTTCTCAAGATTACAGAAGGACAGATGGATGACAGTGCAATTTTTTAAATTGCACTTCAACAATATAAATTCTTGTTGAAATAAATGTCAGAATATGAAGGATACGTGACACATAATACAGTTAAATCTGTTTAAGAAAGCATCCTTGGGATCATTGCATTAAACATCCTTATCTGAAGTAACAAGATTATCCAGGGGATTGTTTATGCTATTAGAATCTCTCCATCCCTTCATGTCTTAGAAACTCTACATAACTTACAACACATTTGGAAACATTAAAATTCATTATCGTCTTACTTCATTATCACATTACTTTTACTTCTTCCCAGAAATACAGTAGGAGCCTAGCTGAAAAGATCTGAATAACCTTGGCCCCTAAATTTCTGAATGCTCTCTAATTGGACATACAATATAAAAACAAATAAATACAGTACTGCAAGAATAAAGTTATTTTTTTACCAAATTTTCTTACAATAACCTACAAATATGCACTAAGGTAATTATTCATGCAATAAACAACTTAAACAAATTTACTTAAAGAAGTCTGTAATTTTCTTTTAGATACAATTCCTTGTAGCTTTCTTTTCAATCATTTCCTTGATTTCATAAAATGCATTATAGTCAGTAAAATTTTCTTCTAAATATCTTCTTACTATGCATAAATGAAACAATGCCTCTTTGTGAAAATTAGGTTTTGTTGAGTTTTGAACAATTCCCATTCCATCTTCACTTTGTACAGCACCTTCATCTTCCTCCACTCATTTTCTTTTAATAATATTGCATATTTCAACAAATACTGTAGTGTAAAGAGCCTTGTCACCATGCATCCTGTTCTTATAATTAATTAACCACTCAGCAGTGAGGGACGGATATATTCGTTCAGGGCGATCGTGTGGCAGTGGTAAAGGACAAATATATCCATTAAATTCTTTTGGGGTATCACCAAAAAGTAGCCAGAAACTACCGCAAAAAAATTCACCTAAAAAATGAATTATGTAACAATAAAAAAAGACTTTTCTTTACTAGACATAACTGTTTACAAAATCTTTTTCTGAAACGGTAATGAGAAAAAATGCATGGAAAACTACTTTAAAAATTTCCCATGTTTATTCTTCACTACTGGGGTAGAACCATACCTGACTAGTCCACTGTTGAAAGGTTAAAGATAGATATTTATAAATCTTCCTTAGAATAGTGCTCCCTTATATGGATTGCTACACAAAACATAGAGAAAAAACTGGAAACATGGAAAAATGTTCTCTTGAGTGACTGCTTCCTTATCCAATGTTCCGTTAAGTGGACTTGACTGTATATACTTTAAAAGAAGTCATCCCCTCACAAATTTTGTGATGACTGGGAATAAGACAGAGTCAATACATCATGGCTGTAACATCAATGACTTAAGAAACTTAGAAATATATAAGACTACTGTAAAACATAAATACATTAATTCCTGAGATACAGATACTATATCTACAGCATGGAGATCCATGTACAAGATACAGTAAAAAAAAAAAAACAACCTTAATTGTCGTCCTGTGTTTATTTATTATTTTTTTAATAGCTTGATGTTTGGCATATGTGTTCTTTCCCAGAATTCTATGAACATTAATACAGTAGAGTTCCAGAAACTCAACATTCCATAAAACTTGTCATATTGTCCAAAAAAAAAAAAAAAATACATGTAATCTAATTTTACCTCTATAACTTGACACTAGGATCAAATAAGTTATTGTTCTTCATTGATGACACTTGATAATAGCATCAATTCCATGTGTTAACAAAGAATATAGCCTTTGTTTTATAGAATTTTTCCAAGGTGTCATTGCAAAATGCCACAACATGAATGTCACTAACTCAAAAGTAGCCACCAAGTAGCCAATAGTTTTCAATTAAAGTTTAACTACAAATAGAAGTAGTCACTATTGCTACATAGTTAATATGTATATGAATTTGAATATATAATACCTTTATGAAAATTCTATTATTTAGTCTAGAATCATCATTATGCCGCAAAACTTGTCATTTTCGGTAACTTTTCACTTCCTCAGTCTAATTAAGTCAAGTTTACAAACTTTTAAGTACAGTAGAGTTTTGCAATGTTCGAATTGTATTTAATTTATATTATGAGGATCCAAATCCTGGCTTTCATTATGTTTACAATATTATCTCATAACATTGCGTCGTAGTTACAATCTCATCAAATAACTGTCAACTTTTACACCTGGGAGCAAAACATCTGTTCGGTTCTCAGATCCAGAAACAACACTTTCTCATCACCTCCCGACCTAATATCTCAATTTCATCAGTTGAATATAGAACAGAACAAAAAAGTTAGGCAGTCGTCGCCAGTCCCTCAAAAGAATATCATCACCTATCTAGTGCCTATTTCAGTTCAAACAGATATACTTAGTTCTTGTGCACCTTATTCTTGTGAATACTCAGCTAAACGTATATTGCCTCATCTACAGATACGTCTTTTATTTTGAAGACGAACTTTACAGCAAATGACCAAGATACTTGATTATACGATCCAGAGAACCTTGAATAGTGCCAGATTGTTGCCAAACATCATCCTTATCCCAAGGTATTTATTGTCATGCGCATATCCTGTAAACTCTCTCTCTCGAACATGACATTAGGCCTAGCTATCTCTATTGATGCACTGTATGAACATGGATTTCTTGTCTTTTACAAATAAAATGTTTTGTTAACGAGGCCTCTGCATGAGTCACTTCCAGTGCACTGTCTCTCACTCCATCCTGAAACCGAATGCTCCGTTACGCGACTGCTCATGTGACCTATTTTGCGGGTTCCATGTCAACCGAGATGCGGTGGTGTCAATCCTGATGAGGCATCGAAGAGGTGTTGACCCTCTGGTCATAATATCATTCTATTCTTCTGTTCTTTCATAAGTTGTGACAAACACCTGAAGAAAATCTTTCAATAAGACTAAAAATACTAGTGTCATTAAAATTTGTTTTCTGTGATAAACAGACATCCAATTATAATTGGATCAGTCAAATTTTTAAATCAAGAACAATCACTAATTTTTTCATATTTTGACTTGCATTAAAAAGTTCAAAAATAAATTTTAAGAAATTTTATTCAAAACAATTAAATTACTAACAATAATATGAGAACAAATAAATTAATGTTATTCATAATAAAACAAGAATTACACTACAATAAAGAAAGTATAGGAAAAACTACGTATAAGCAATAATTTCCCAAATGATTCAATATAATTCAACATATTCATTAAAATAATTAATAAAATGTCAAATCTTACCTTCACTACCACTTGCTATAAATACTTGATTTATTCCCCCAAAACAAGAATGAATTGTGTAATAACCTTGCGTAACACCTTGAAATTTTCTAACTAAAACTTTATCTTCTAAATCCCATAAATGTACACCCTATAATTAAAAGAATAACGAACAAATTTTAGTTTTTAGTTATTTTAACCTGTAATAAAATCTCAAAAATGTAACTGTTACAAGTAAGAGATGTAACAACAATATACAGTATTTTGAGGTACAAAACAAATTACAAAAAATATACAGTGTTGCTTTGTATAACGTACGCCTCAAATAATGGACGCTGCAAACAACGGTCTTTCTGCGAACAAGTGCTAATGATGTTTCCACTCTTTTGCCGTTGCCAATGACAATCTGCTATTTTTATAATATATTAGTATTATTAGAATATATTATTAGTATATCTGAAGTACAGAGCTCCCGTTGGGATTCGGCTTGCTCCCTTGTTTATTACGTACATCACCTCAGTGCAGGGTATTTACATTTATTCAAGTGTTGTGCAAATCATGGCTTCTAAAAAAACAGAAAGGTGATTTCAATTGAAACAAAGCAAGAAATCATCAGGAGTGAAAGTTGACAAAAACTTTCTTGTCAAATGGGGAGAGGTTCAGGAGTTTACCAACACTCATTATCCAAACAGAGCTGAGGCCAACAGGATCAATGATCTCTACAATGACACCCTTGCCCGTCATTTCTGACAGGTGTTGAAGAAGAGAGAGAAACAGATCACCTTAGACATGTTTTTCAAGAAGCAAGCTGCCAAAAAAACAAAGGATGGAACAAGAGGAGATGACTCTGCAAGCTCCAGTAGCCTCTCCTGAATCTGACTCTGATTAAAAAACAATAAAAAGAGACCTGCTGCAATGTGTAAAAAGTCTGTATCTGTACGAATGTGTAAAGAAAGTGTTCCTCCACTTCCTTCTCACAACATCTGACTACCCGACATAATTGGTGACTGCTCTATTTTCATTTCTTTATGGTACAGTATGGTTATTTTATGCTGCAGAACAAATTATATGTTTTAACATGTATTTCTATGGGAAAATGCGTTTCGTATAACGGATTTTTCACTTAATGGACGTGCACCTGGAACGAATTAAGTACATTATGTGAGGCACCACTGTATAACTTTTTTGAGTCTTTTCTTTTTTACCCTTTTCACAATATCACAGAAGTAACAGTCTATTGGCTTGACAATCTAATAAAATCTTCATTAAAACAGCAATAATAGATAATTAAAAAATTTTCAATTTTTTAATTATCTATTTTTTTTAATTATCAATGAAAAAGTTATATATTTCTTTGTAAGTCATCTTGAACTTCAAATGAAGATAATGTTGGGTTATGTTTTCATTATGCAAATAATGTATGATCTTATGAAAATAATTTTTTGTGAATACTCAAAAGTACCACCAGAAGGTTTGAAGTAGTTATATATTAAAGCTACAAGACATAGTTATTATGAAAAATTGTTATCATTGTTTTATTGTTAAAAGCACCAAATACTAAAATAAAAAGTCTGCATTTGATCAATTTTAACTTTGTGTGAAATTTTTTAAATTATCTATTATTGTTGTTTTAATGAAGATTTTATTAGATCTTCAAGCCAAGAGACTGTTACTTCTGTGTGGTATTGTGAAAAGGATAAAATAATGTATGATCTTATGCAAATATACAGTATGTTGCTTTCAAGACTGAAATAATTATTTTCTATTTTTTAACATTTAATGGATATTTGTCTTCATACGATGATTGCCACATATTTCTCTCTCCTTCCGTATAGAATATCATATATTCACATATGTTTTAATACAAATAAATTACTACTATAAACAAATACAAATACTGTAAAAGTTTTTCTACAAACAACAAAAAATTACATAAAGCAATAACTTTATTTTGTTATAGATGAAAAATTATATAAAGTAAATAAATAAAAATAATATAAAATAAACAAAATAAATAACTTATAAACAAATAATGATGTTTGAATGTTATAACTCAGGTCTCCTTAATATCAGTTTTAGTTATGCTATCGTTTTTCAGCACCCCCTTATCACAGTCATGAACCACCACTGCCATACAGAATATTCTAAATAATAATAATGCAGTTATATTATTAATTATTATTATTATTTTGATTACTAATAAAGTTTTTCTTCCATGTTATTAATTGACATAATTATTTTGACTATTTAAACTTTAAAACCCTCAAACAATAAAAAGTTAGAAATATGAAAATCTAAAGCAAGTTTTTAGTGAGAGAGGTAATAAATGCATTGATATAAATGGGCAGTGTCTTAAATAATTGTTGTAATTAAATTATGTTTTATTTTGTGTCTAAATAGTGCAATCTGCAAATAAAATATTATTTAAAATCTAACTACTATTACTTCTAAGCCATATACTACTATATAAAAACATCTAATGTTTTTATTTCAATTTATAGTTTTTCACATATTTAATTTTTTGTGTGTACTCATTTTTAATGCATTCAAGAAAACAACAAACCACAATTCAAAAAAAAAAACAAATAATTATTTAATATTCTGAACATTTTTGATAAACTTTCTTTATTGGAGATTAAAAATTTTTTAATCATTATCTTGCATTATATTTTCAGAATTTTTATATATTACACTTGTATCATATTTTAGTGCATATAATCCAGGATGGCATATACTCCACAGAAAATAAATCTTTGCATAATTTAATTAACCAATATACTGGAATCATTCACAATTGACACTGACATGCAAAAACACCTTATGTACTTACTCCAGCAAAGTTTAATAAAAATTACAAACATTTTTGGCCACATTGAGAAATCTTCCTCTAGTAAAAAAAGAAGCCATTCCATTGATAAACATTCAAAAAACAATTCTTTTATAGGAAGGTCTCTCAATACAGCTAAAAATGTTTGTAATTTCTATTAAACTTTGCTGGAGTAAGTACATAAGGTGTTTTTGCATGTCAGTATCAACCTTGCATAACCCATCTAATCATATATCCTGAACCCATGAAGTTGCCATTACTCCAGAAGCACAATGTAAATTGCAATTTAAAATTGACATATAACCTGCAACCCTCTTCAAATTATATATATATATATATATATATATATATAATAGAGTCTTTCAGGATTATATACATAAAAATATGATCCTTTGTACTTGAAATACAAAGGAACACACTTATTTTCAAAATAAGTTTGGTAATAGTCAGTGGTGATATTCGAAATATTTAACAAAGGGTTCGCTAACAGAAATTTTCTTTTTAAGTAAACCCCAAGCCCGAGATATCTCGGGCAAGTTACATAGCGTTACATAAAACTCGGGCGTTTGGACCCTCTGAACATTTTGATTTTTTTTTTATTTTTGGAATGATTTTTAAGTCTCCAAATTTTTTCAAAAATTTTTTCTCGCGCGAAAAAATTTTATCGCAATTTTAATTTACCTTTCACGCACGATTCACGCTTAATTGCTTTTTAATTGTTTTTTAATGGAAATTTGATATCCAATTTCATTCATCGTTCTAAAGTTGTAGTGGACAAATTTTCCTTCGGTAAAGTTATTTAAAGCCAGTTTCTGATGTCAAAAACGACCTCCGATAGTTTTTTAATTTTTTTAATTAAT